TAATTCCCTGCCCTCTTCCCTGCGCTTTCGGTTGGGCCCGCCGGCCATGCTCTGACGCCTACCCGGGGATGCATCTGCCGCACAGTGGTCCTGGCCGAGGTCATCCAGGCGTTCTCGGCCCCGGAGAACGCCGTGCGCATGGACGAGGCTCGGGACAACGCGTGCAACGACATGGGCAAAATGCTGCAATTCGTGCTGCCCGTGGCCACGCAGATTCAGCAGGAGGTTATCAAGGCCTATGGCTTCAGCTGCGACGGGGAAGGTGGGTCGGATGAGGGTCGGGGTGAGTGGGTCCGGGAGAGGGCGCTCGATCCATCGGGTCCCTGAGCCGTCCTCCCTCATCTTGCCACACGGAGGCAGCCACAATCTGACGAACAGTATTGGCGGGCAGAGCCAAGGGTCTCCTGTGAACTTGTGCCAGGCGAAGTCTTAAATGCTGTTTGCAGTTACCCGTAATTATACTGTTACCCCATTTTAAGATGAGGGAACAGACTCTAGCAGTAAACTAAGTGCCTGAGGTCACAGCAGAGCTGGACTGGAACCCCCTTCCGATAGCTCTAGTTGGATGTCTGCGTGACAGTGCACTTGTGCAGCCCCTCCAACGTGTTTTAGCTAGTCTCTTTTGGAGGGTTGGCTGGCTAATTTCCTTGATGAGATCATGGTGTTCCCCAAAGGTGCTTATTGATTCAGCCCAGTTGGCCCATGGCCCTCCTGTGTCCAGGTTATAGACTTGAGATCTTGTGGATGTTCATGCTTCAGGTTCTTGTGACTAAATTGCTAAAATGTTTCACCTGATCATGAGACACACTGCTTTGGGATATTTCATTCAGTGCATCCCATCCAGCTGTGATGGGTATAGACGTGGAAATGGTTCACCCAAACGACACAGGGCAGAGGACTGCTTGTGTCTTATTTTGTAGACAGCTCCCTGACTAGAGGGGGAGCAACCAGTGACTCAGGCTCAAGCTGCCCCCTCCTGATGTCTGGGGCACACTTGTCCCCTGGGGGTGTGGGTTGACGCTCCACTTCCCCTTGCAGGTGTCCTTAAGTTTGCCCGCTTGGTCAAGTCTTATGAAGCCCAGGATCCCGAGATTGCCAGCTTGTCGGGCAAGCTGAAGGCGTTGTTCCTGCCACCCATGACATTGCCGCCCCACGGGCCTGCTCCCGGTGGCAGCGTGGCTGCCTCCTGAGGGTCGGCCCTCCCCTGGGACACTGCCCAGGAAGGGAAGACCTTGATGTTCCAGAGGATAATAAACATGCCTGTGACATAGCCTCAGTGTCAGTCTTTTGTGATCCTGACAACCTCCACCGCTTGGCCCCAGGTTCCCTCTGCCGTTCCAGGCTGCTTCAACTCCCTGTCCAGATCCTTCCTAGGTTCCTGCTGGGCCCAACTCTGCCTGCTCCAGGGCACGGTGGGAGGAAGGACTTGCCCCTTAACACCCTGGATGGGTGGGTGGTCAGGCCTGCACAGGTGGCACCTCTTCTTCCTGGGTTTTTCCTGAGGCCCCCTGGCTTGTGTGTGTGCTGGGAGGCTCCCCTATGGGTTGGTGTTCCCTTGGCCAGGGTTACTTCCTGGTCTTTGCCTCCACCCGCCCTCCCTCCAGCTGCTCTGTCAGCTTGAGCTCCAGGTGGAGCTCCAAGTGGCTCCTCCCCTCCCAAAGGAAGGAGGCCAGGACGACGGCCCTGGACTACCCAGCGGGGCTGGAGGTAGAGTCCGGCCTCTGTGGGCAGTCTGAGGCCAGCCCCGCCCACCTGTCCCTTTTTCAGGGATCACTAGTCAGGGGGCTCGTCGTCGTCGCTGTGGTGCCATTGGCCTGGAGGGCTGCATCAAGGAGGAAGTAGCTGAGTTCCCAGTGTTCTTCCTCACCTGTTGGGGCTACTGTGCACAGCTGCGCCCAGGCTCGGCCCCACCCCTTGTGGCCCTCTGCCTGTGACTCCCCCATCCCTCTGGGGAGATGCTGTCCGGTGGGTAAGTCCCCGGCTCCACCTGGCTGCCACAGCCTCCTCTTAGTTTGGGAGAGAGGGGCAGGGAGGGTTCTTGCTCATTCCTGGCAGGTGTGCGACCATAAGGGCGATCTACTTCCTGTCCCTCCCTCAAGATTTGAGGAACTCTAGGCTCATTCATGCCCCTCTGCCCCCTCCTCCTTTTCTCTGTCTAGCTCGTTTCCCCCGACCAGATGTGTATTTATTCTCTCCATTGCATGTTTCCCTTCACTCTCTGGCCTCCTGCTTCTGCTGTCTGCTTACCAGAAACCCTGGGTCACCCACATCATCTGAAACATAACGTGTCTGGGAGGCAGACCTGAGAAAGCTCCCCCTTCTTCCCATGTAACTTCCCAACGTCTGGTGTTCATTCTACTTTCCTTCGGTGCCCCTCTGCGTCCCCCTCCCATGCATCATTCATTCAACAGATGCATCCGGGGCACCTGTGCCAGGTACCTTTTACGGTGCTGGCAATAATGGAGTGAAGAAGATGGGGTCCTTGCCCTCACGGAGCTTCATTCCAGTGGGAGGCAGCAGACTACACAAAGAACCCAGTAAATAGGACACTTTTAGATTCTCAGGAGTGTTCTGCAGAAACGTGAAAACAGCTTCATGTGCTAGCAAGTGACCGGGGGTGCCAGTGGCGTCCCTAACTGGAGGGATCCAGGAGGGCTTTCCTGAAGAGGTGACATGTGCCCTGAGAGCTGGATGTGAGGAAGAGCCAGTCGTGTGGTGACCAAGAGTCCAGCACCCCTGAGCAGAGGCCCTCCTGTGGGGACAAAGGAAACAGGAAACAGGGTGCCCCAAGCAGAGTAAAGCAGTGGGGAGGGAGGCGTGGACCCACAACTTCACATGCGGTCAGGATGGTGTGTCCGTGTGCGGGTATTTGCACCGGGCCGGGTATGTGTGTAGATGGCCGAGGATGGCGAGGTGCATGCGTGGGACTGTTTGTGTTTGTATATGTGTGTCCTGTGTGTGTGACAAGCCGGGTGTGTGTGTGTAAAAACAGGAGCTGAACTTGGGATCAGGCATGTACGTGGCTGTCGATGAGCTTGTTTACTCGACACAAACTCTGCATGAGGTGGCGTGCTAGCCTTTGAACATTCGAGGGTTGGCAAGATTGGCTGTGGACCCCACTGTGGCAGGGCCGACTCTGCAGACGCTCTTGCTGCCCCTGGCTCCGGGAAGGCGTTCATGGCCTTTTGACGGGGCTCAAAGTCCAGGACTCAAGGGATGGTCGGTATTAGGTCATACGGTAAACAGACCAAGCTTCCCAGGTACCAGAAAGAAGGGGAAGGCAGGGAGAGCCCCTTGGGGGGGGGGGGGGGAGAACCGATGTTTGATATTTCGAAAAGTGATAAAGTAGTCATTGTAGGAAAAATACTTCAGTTCAGCTTTAACACTTTGTTACTATTTTTCCTTAGTGTTTATTGAGGTCTAGCATACAGAATGCACATGAATGTTAAGCGTACGGCCTGATGAATGTCACATTTACATACACCTGTGTATATACTACCCAGATTAAGACGTAGAGCATTCCCAGCACCCCAGTTGTTCCCCAGAAATTGCCGCCTCTCAGTCAATTTATTCATTTTTATAAAGGTAATACATACCCACATGCTACAACATTCAAAACGATATAAGGGAAAGAAGACATCCAGATGGCCAACAGACACATGAAAAGATGCTCAACATCACTGATCGTCAGGGAAATGCAAATCAAAACCACAATGAGATACCACGTTACCCTTGTCAGAATGGCTAGAGTCAGAAAGACCAGAGGTAACAAGTGTCGATGAGGATGTGGAGAAAAGGGAGCCCTCGCGCACTGTTGGTGGGAATGAAAATTGGTGCAATCGCTGTGGAAATCGGTATGGAGTTTGCTCAAATAATTAGAAGTAGAAACACCATTTGATCTAACGACCCCACTTCTGAGCATTTACCCAAAGAAAATGAAAACGCTAACTCGAAAAGATATCTGCACCCCTATATTCATTGCGGCATTGTTTACAGTAGCCAAGGAATGGAAGCAGCCCAAATGTTCATAGACAGATGAATGGATAAAGCAGATGTGGTATATATGTACAATGGAATGTTACTCTGCCATAAAAAAAAATCTTGGCATTTGTGACAACATGGATGGATCTAGAGGGTATTGTACTAAGTGAAAGAAGAGAAAGACAAAGACTGTAGATTTCACTTATATGTGAAACCTACAAAACAAAACAGGGGTGCCTCCTGTCACAATTGGAAGAACATGTGACTCTGATCTCAGGGTCGTGAGTTTGAGCCCCACACTGGGTGTAGACATTACTTTAAAAAAAATCTTAAGGGGCGCCTGGGTGGCTCAGTCAGTTAAGCACCCGACTTCAGCTCAGGTCATGATCTCACAGTCCCTGAGTTCAAGCGTCGGGCCCTGTGCTGACAGCTCAGAGCCTGGAGCCTGCTCTGGATTCTGTGTCTCCCTCTCTCTCTGCCCCAACCCACTCGCATTCTGTCTCTGTTTCTCTCAAAAATAAATAAACATTTAAAAACATTTTTTAAAAATCTTAAAAAAAAACAACAAACCAACAACAAACACCCAACTAGCAGAAACAGACCTATGAACACAGAGAGTAAAATGATGGTTGCCAGAGGGGAGGCGGGTGGGAGGGGGCAAAATGGATGAAGTAGAGTGGGAGGTGGAGGCTTCTAGTTACAGATAGAATAAATCATGGGAATGAAAGGTACAGCATAGGGAATACAGTCAGTTGTGTTGTAATAGTGTTGTGTGGTGACAGATGGCGGCTATGCTTGTGAGCGGAGCATAATATATAGAGATGTCGAATCACTATGTTGTACACCAGAAACTAATGGAACGTTGTGTGTCAATTACCCTTCCATTAAAAAAACAGGTACAAGGGAGAGGTGAATGTCCCTCCCAGCCCTCTCCTCCGGCCACCTAGTTTCTTTCCCTAGGGGAAGCCACCAGTACGAGAGCTTTCTGTGTGCCCTTTGTTAGATTGCTTTCCTCGTTTTGGTTTGGCGTGTTGTGTTTGTCTGTGGGATTACACACAGGGAGCATCGTGAACTTCTAGTGTGTAGGGCTTCTTGAGGTCATCCAGCCCTGAGAATATCAGTCGATGGCAGGGACCTCAGTCTTCAGGAGACAGGCCCCTGGTCAGAGTCCTGAGCTCTGGCTAATTCAGAGCCACCCCCTTGACAAGAACCTATGGCCCAGGTATAGGGTGGAAGGACCCCAGGGGGCGTGGAAGCTCTACCCCCACCTGCTTTCCCAGCTCTGCTTCCCCTTGCATTCTGTTCCTTGGCTCCACTGGCTGGTTAGGGCACAGAGGGACAAAGACTAGGGCAAGAAGTAGAAAAGGTGTATGTTTGACAGCTGCTATTTTGTCCATCCCAGTGCCCCAGTGGTACCTCTTCAGATGGGTAGGTCAGAGGAGGCGAGGGCACCTCTCCCTTTGTAAGCATCTGCTTGGCCGTGGCTGTTAGGAAGTGTCCCCTTCCCTGCAACCCCCAGTGGACAGGACGTCCCGACCTCTGTTCTTTGAAGCCCTAAGGCCTGGCATACAGGAGCTGAAATCACTGACCTTGGAACCCCTGTGGGGTTCATCCCAGCACCACCACTTAACTGACTGCCTAACCTCAGGCAAGTTCCCTACCTTCCCTGAGCCTCAGGTTCCTTGTCTGTAAAATGGGGATAAAGATAGCGCCTGCTTCATTGGGGCTCTGATGAGGGATAAATCAGATAAGGCACATAAATGACATGAGAGCACAGTGCCTGGCATACAGGGAGACTCCGTGAAATGAGAGTTGTGGCTGTCACCGTTATTTATTTATTTGAAAGAGAGAGAGAGAGAGCATGCAAGCGAGTCGGGGTGGGGGGCAGAGAGAGAGGGAGACTGAGAATCCCAGGCGGGCTGCACGCTGTCAGTGCAGAGCCCGATGTGGGGCTCCAACTCCACGAACCGTGAGATCATGACCTGAGTCGAAATCAAGAGTTGGACGCTTAACCAGCTGAACCACCCAGGCGCCCCTCAGTGTCACCATTATTATTAGCTTGGACCAGGGAAGGCTGTGCGGATGCGGCTGGTGGAGGAGGAAGGGTTGGCATGTGACTGCGAGTGGGCTCACGTTTACGAAGCCCGGTCTTCACCTGTGGGCTGCAAGGCACATTTGCGTCCTTCTTTCTTGTGTCGTCACCCTTGCGGAGTGCCATGCTCCTGGAGCCTTTGATGGCAGATGACATGTGGGAAGTGGGCCCCCTCCCCACCCCCACTGCCACCCTGCTCTGCTTCTCTTCTGCGCTCTGCTCCAAAACGAGAAGTACAGTGAGTTCCCCCAAGGGGTCGGCCGCGCCCCTTCCTGTCCCCGCCCTGCCGGCTGTCCCAGGCCAGTGGAGTGGCAGCCCCAGAACCAGGACCGCCAGGGCTGTGAGGCGGCCTGGGCGCTGGGAGTTGGCGGCCTGCCTGGGCTCACCAGCACATCTCATTCCCTGCACCCCCTTCCTCTCAGGGAGCCCCCAGGATGGTGAGGTAAGGTCCCGGGAACCACGGTAGACAGGAGGCGAGGGTGCCCTGTGGCCGGAGGGACCTCTCCTCACTGCCTTCCGGGCCTACAGGTGGTTTCACCGAGACCTCAGTGGGCTGGATGCAGAGACGCTGCTCAAGGGCCGCGGGGTCCATGGGAGCTTCTTGGCTCGGCCCAGTCGCAAGAACCAGGGCGACTTCTCCCTCTCCGTCAGGTAGGTGGCCCTCAATTCCAGCCAGGGCCCGCATTTCGCAACTCCGTTCTCGGTTCCAACCTCCCAGCCCCCCTTCCGGCATATTTATCCCCGCTCCGTGTCTACCCTGTCCCTGTGTGTGCCCCGTGCTCAGGACCCCAGCCCATCCCCCTCTCTGTCCCTACCTCTCCTCTTACACCCACTTTATTTCTACCGTCACGAATTTGGTCAGGATCAGAGTGGCCATTCCCGGATCAGAACTCCGGGAGGGGTGCTATGACCTGTATGGAGGGGAGAAGTTTGCGACACTGACGGAGCTGGTGGAGTACTACACACAGCAGCAGGGTGTCCCGCAGGACCGGGATGGCACCATCATCCACCTCAAGTACCCGCTGAACTGCTCCGACCCCACCAGTGAGAGGTGAGGGGCTTCCTTGCCCCTGACCCCACACAGAGTGCCTTCCCCCTCCCCCCACCCCGTCCCTGATTTTCCCATCCTTCCCGGGGCTCCGTGGGCCTCTTTCTTCCATGTGATCCTGGGCCTGTGTCTCGGGGCACTAACCCCTCATAGCCTTTCCCCTCAACCCCTGAGAATGCAGGGAACATCATCCTGCCCTTTTCTGGGGTCCCTGTCAGCTGGCCTCCCAGGCCTGCTCGTGATGCAGAGGCCTGGTGGCCGCCTTTCACAGTAGGCCAGCTCTGTTGTTAGAAAGCTCTTCCGTCTATGGAACCGAATCGGCCTTCGTTTAGCCACTCTCTCCCCCAGCACAGGTTGGTGCACAGAGAGACGAATGTTGAGGAGGGGCAGAGGAGATTTGTATTTACGACGACATTTAATGCCTTATCTCAGCAACACAGTGATGACGGGTCTGCTTTTGGGGGCTTGGTAGAGCTTGACCAGAACACAGACCAGTTGAAAACTGTCCGATATGGTTGTGTGTGCAAGGGGCCTAGTACCTGGGCACAGGACACTCAAGGCATTTCTCCCCTGTCCCTTTGGCTTCAAAGATGTGGTCCCCACGACTGGGCAGGCTGCTCCCTATGCGGTCTCCCTAAAGCATGGTGGGGGGTGGGGGGTGGGGTGGAGGACCAGAACATTCGGCATTACACCATGGCTCACTTTAGTGGCTGTATCTCAATGACAGCTCCATTAAGGTGAAGGGCAGCCCGATAACTCTAAGGGATTTTTCGTTTTTGTTGTTGTTGTTGTTTTTTTACACTCCTGGGGCCAAGCCAACTTGCCCATGTCCTGTATTTGGGTGTTGATTGTTGAAATGATTGTGAATCTTGATTCTGTCCGTTTTCGGTCTTTCTGAGATGCGTGCCTCCCAACTCACATCAGTATTTTTGTTCAAGTCACTGATTCAGAGTTAGGACTGGGTGAGGCTGAGGTGAAGGCCCCGGGGCCCACCGCTGGGCACCACTCACCAGCCAACATGAAGCTGCTCATCCATTTGCCTTGAAGCCACCTCTTCTAGGCGCGAAGCCCAAGCATGGATGACTTTGCTCATGGTGGCCCTCCTTGGTCCTTATTGGGTATCTGCTCCCTCTCGTTCTTTTCCTATGCCCCGCCTGCAACGTTAAGGGGCCTTTGCCACCTAGACCCTCTTGAACTCAGCGCGGTACCTCTCTTTCTCCTTGCCCAAAGCCGGCATCTTCCCTGCAGGAGGATGGGTTGCTGGAGGCCCTGGAGAAGCAGTAGGTTGTGGATGGAGCTAGAAGAGGGAAGGAGCAGCTGAGCAGACCCCCTGGGGAGGAGGCTGGGGCCTGGCTTCAAATGGCTTGGGAGAAGGGGGAGAAGGGCAGAGCTGGGGGCTGGGGGGCAGGGAAGGATGGAGGGAATCCAGGCCAGGGAAACTGACTCCAAGAGGCCCTTTCGGTGACCCACGCCAGGACGCCAGCATGCCTGGCTCACCCCTGACCCTGGGATTGCGTGGGGGAGGCTCCTTCTCCAAACCTCCCTTTGTGTTCCCAGCCCTGGCCCGCTGCCTCTCCTCCTCCCCTCCTCCGAGGAAATTTGCATTTGTCCCGCCAATGGCTAGCTCTCTGCCTATGGTCAGCCTGACATTTGCATGGAAACTTCCTCATCCTGGGCCAGGGGGACGAGGGTCAGCCCCCTCCCCATTGCCTGGGGGGGGCCCTGGTCTATCCCTGATTGGTGGGACAGGGTGGCCTGGGGTGCTGCTTGGGGACAGGGAGGGAGCGAGGTGGGGCAAGACAGACTGGTCCCCCCCTCCTCCCCCCATCCCTGCGGTTGGAAAATGCCCCCTCCCCTGGTCCCTGGGCTGAGGAAACCTCACACCCTCACTTCTCACTCTCTCCCCAGAAGGAGTTTTGTGTTTTTTCCATCACGTGGTTTCCTGTGGGGCTGGGCATTGTGGGGCTACAGTTTCCTCCTGGGAAGGGGGTGTGCTTTGGGGAAAGGTCCTAGTTCCGCTTTCTGCCCTTCTGAGCCCCTCTGAGCCCCAGCCTCCCCTTCAGTGATGTCACCCTGGACACCTCAGAGCCCCCCACACCCCTGTTTCCCCAGCAGGGTTGTCTGTCTTCCCTGCCACCCAGGGGGGAGTTGTCCCCATCACGACTCCCTTGTGACTTCCGTCTCTCCCAATCTCCACTGCTCTCTGCGCAGAGTTTGGCCTCTGTGCTTCTCTTGGTCCCCCTCCTCTTTCCCTAGCTCAGCCCTGGCTTTCATGGAGACCCTTCCTCGGTTTCTCCCCTACAGTTGTTCTGGATGTGGCTTGCCTCTCTGCCTCTGTCTCATGCTCTCAGAGGCGGGCCTGGCTACCACCCAAGGGCCTTGGGCCCAGCTTCAGGCTCCTTATCTGTAAAATGGGATCGTACCTACCTCTCAACATTTTTGTGAGAGCAGTGGACCCAACTATGGCGGTGGATTTGAAAGCATGTAGCACAGCGCCTGGCACATCATAGTCACTCTATTTCCCTTTCTCTGTGAATGTCTCTGCTCAGTGCCTGCCCCTTGGCCTAGGGGTCACCTTCCCTGATGTTGCCTTCTATAGGTGGTACCACGGTCACATGTCTGGGGGGCAGGCAGAGACACTGCTGCAGGCCAAGGGTGAGCCCTGGACGTTTCTCGTGCGTGAGAGTCTCAGCCAGCCTGGAGATTTTGTGCTGTCCGTGCTCAGCGACCAGCCCAAGGCTGGCCCAGGCTCCCCACTCAGAGTCACTCATATCAAGGTCATGTGTGAGGTAAGGCAGCCGGGCAGCGGGGAAGGCATCCTGCCGGGGCTCCTGTCTATGCTCAAAGCCCCGGCAGTGGGGAGGATCAGCCTAGGCTTTGGTCCGAGGCTGGGGGTGTAGGGAGGGAGACTCAGGTCATGCAGAATGGTCTGACTTGGCATCCCTCAGGGTGGACGCTACACGGTGGGTGGCTCAGAGACCTTTGACAGCCTCACAGACCTGGTGGAGCATTTCAAGAAGACGGGGATTGAGGAGGCCTCGGGTGCCTTCGTCTACCTGCGGCAGGTGAGAGGGGCGGGCCTGGCAATCCCTCAGACCCAGGAGCTCTGTGCTCTCAAGTGGGCGCTGACTTCTTACCTGTCCCCACCCAGCCGTACTATGCCACTCGGGTGAACGCAGCTGACATTGAGAATCGGGTGTTGGAACTCAACAAGAAGCAGGAGTCGGAGGACACAGCCAAAGCCGGCTTTTGGGAGGAGTTTGAAGTGCGTGGGGTCTCAGGCCCCGTCCCCTCTCTCCCCGCTCCATACACTGGTCTGCCCCGTC